TAAGGTTGTTACTATGTGTGACTTTTTTTTATATCCTATTAAATGGTTGATAAAAACTTAGTCTTATAAGACGAACAGTTCATTTACAGGTAATCGATGTAGACTAATAATTAGTAGAATAGGGAGGAAGAATATAAGTATGGATATTGTTTTATTAGCATGCAGCACATAAAAAGTAGCATGTTCTATATAAATATTCAACTTTTGTTTCCTGGTTTATATATTTTGGATTTTACATTAGGTGTTTTGAGATTGTTAAGAAGATCTGAAATAAAAAAAAGCATTCACAGCTGGCAATGAAACTCTAGGCTATTTGAATATCTCTTTTTATTCTTCTATTGAATAAAATATTTTTTTTGAAGTGTGACAAGAATATGCCTAGTTACTCAAGCAATAAAAACTTTTTGGCAGAACAGCACAAAAAAGTCTTACTACCAGATTAGCTATCCAGGTTGGTTTTCAAAAACTGTGTTAAAAAAAAAAAAAAAAAAAGCTGTTTTCTGGAAATATTCTGGTTCTGTTTCTTCTTAGATAAGTAGTCATAATTTCAAGTTTATGCTGTTGTAATAAAATGAGTGCTGAACACTCACTAAGAATCAATCAAGGCTGACTGCTTATGTTTTACTCTAATGGTTTTAGTGTGGCAGATTTTTTTACTTTGCTTTTGGATTACCTTTAGCAATGAATAACAAAGTTTGAGTAGTAACGATTGCAAAGAATAAAAACATCGTTTCATACAGAAGTAATTTATCATGTGTAAAGCAAAGTCTCTAAGCTTTTAAAAAAAAAAAAAAAAATGGAGAGGGATTTGCATGTGTCTTGTTTCCCTAATAGATGACTTACATTGTTTTCAGGTTTCTTCATAAAAGCTCTTTTTACCATATAAATGCAATTCAGTGCACTAAGCTTTTATTGGAAAAAAACAACCAAACAAACTGTAAAACCACCAAGACCTCATGAATCCTAAGTTCAGTCGCACACTATACTTAAAAACATATTATATATTGCTTTGAATCAGTCTGCAAAGCCCAGTGGCAATGTTTACTCCCTTTTTCTGAGTTAAGTCCTATTCTTTTTGTTTTTTTTTCCTCTGGTGGCAGGAAAAATTTCTGGTACCAAGTGACCCATTAGTTGAAGTACAGAAGTACAACCTAAGCCATACATGTGGGAAGCATGTTTTGTAACATGCTTTGAGTACAGGTAAAGGCTTGGAAGTCTAAAAAGCCCAGAGGCTGATTAATTTGTTTTTCTGTGATTGCTACGGATGAACAGAGTTTAATCACCAAATAAAACTGGGAATGTGCTGGTAGTCTACAAGAGCTGAGGCTTCTACGTTGGTTATGTGCGCTTAGCTCTCCATCTAGTGGGAAGTTGCTGGTTTTAGCTCCTGCACTAGGGCAGGCCCTGACTGAAGGGGTAAGGATACCCAGGCCAGCAGTGCAGCGTGGTCTCAGTGGGGTTGCCACTGCCCTGTTCACATGTTCTGTTAGCTGATTACCAAAGGTCATCTTGGTTTTGAGGCTACAGTTGCCCACTTGGGTTTCTCCTCTCAGAAATGGTTCATTAGATCTGTTTATTGCTTTCCAGAAGTCACTCCTGGCCCACAGGGAGAAAAGATACTCCACAAAGAAGCTGTGAACGCACCCTGCTATAGCTTTTTAGAACTGTCTTCTCCTGTAAGTAGCAGAGTGAAGCAGCACATGCTCTAAATTGGAATGTATATGAATGGCATACATAGCACACCTCAATCTGCAAAGGGCATGCTCCCAAGAGAAGAGCTCTGTGCAGAAATCACTGTGACTTCAATATATAAAAAAAACAAACCCAAAAAACTGTAAGACAAGTAAGAAGAAAACCACAGGCTCCAGACTAATAGTGACTAAGTCCACATTTCTCTTGAAGGGAGAGAAAATTCTCATCCACTACCACTGTGAACAAGTTACAAGTAATTTCACTTGAAACTACGTGGTCAAAATACTCTTCAGCCTTGAAAAGCAACACCATTTTGCTCTTCCTTTTCTGATGCTGTTGGACCAAGACATGCAAGGATACACGCATAGTGAAAAATAACATTATAATTGGGTCTAAACTCACTTGACAGTTTCTGAGTAGTAGTAGCAAGGTGCCTTGAAATAAGATACCTCTTTATGAGTCTAGACAAGTGTAGTAAGTATAGCAACTGTGCATGCTCTCTATTTTCTTTCCTGTATTGAAGAATTTGATAGCAAGTACTTGCTGCTGTAAAATCATTTGAAAAAGCAGTGATGTGCTGTCACCCTGAGCTTGACATCCTGAAGCCTTGTGAATTCCTTTCTTGAGGGATGTTTGCCTTGTCAACCAACTCAGTTTTGTTTCTGTAAGCAGTTAAAGAATTTAAAAGTATGAAGTTGCTTGGATCCAAAGTATGCAGCTAGATACGCGACTGAGTGAATGGAGTTTCCAACAGAATAAAGCATAAAAGCCTCTGAAGATACCAATGTTTGTCATGGTTTTTAAACATCGACAGCAGAAAATGGGGGAAAAAAGTAGCTAAGTCTATTAAAATTCTGTGAATGCCAATATCACTGTATGTTTCACTTTGTTTTTAAAAAGAGAAAGTTACATGAGATGTTTACTAAAAGTTACATAAGATATTTACCAATAGCAAATATAAAATTTTCAGGCTGGTATCTTTCACATGTCAGTTCCAGTAGGAGGCAAATCTTTGTTGTTTGTTTTTGTTTGGGAAATGGTGGCTTCCTCTACAACCGTTGCTTTCATATTTAGAGGGTTCTGAAATTGTTTTTTTTCTCCCAGATCAGAACAGTGAAATGAGTGAAATCTTGGCAATGAATATTTTGTTGCAATAGGGCTAACGTTTCGTTACTGCAAACCCACAAATTCATCTCCTTGTAGGATTCACCAGGTAACAGCTTGTGCAGTCAACTTAAGGATTTGGGGTTAAGTAACATAACTTTCATGGGTCACTGAAGTATTATTCCAGGGCAAAAGAGAACATAAATGAAGTCAAAACATCAGTGATAATTTCTGGATAAGCCAGGCAAACAATGAACCTGCTCTAAAGAAATGAGACAGGATGCCCGATCCTCTGTAGAACAGCTGTTAACCAAGGTTACGCTGCAAATCTCAAGCTGTACTGTTAGGACTAGTTATAGGAGTAAATTTACCACATCACTTGAAGTTTCTATTTAACTAATAAGCAAGTCCCTGCATTTCAATGAACTGATCAAAAGCCTAATCACAAATTTTTGAATGGTGTATTTTTTTCTGCTGATACTAGATTACTACTTGAGTAATTACTAATTACAAACTGTGTATCTAACTGTCTTACATGGTCTACATAAATGTTTTGACACTAGTTGCCTTTAAACTAATTGGGAGAGTTCAGAGAAAAAAAGGTCATCTGGAAATAAGGAACCAATGAATAGCCAAAGCCAGCTCCGAGTTCTGACACTGCTGACTTGGAAAAAGCAGTACAGCAAAGATCTGTACAGTGCACTCAGAACTTGCTTGTGGTCAGCCTGGCTTTTACTGCCATCTACTGAAATAAGAGCATCTCTCCCATAGCCAATAAATTACTTATATTTGCCATGTTACAGGGTAATGCAGGAGGCTATATAGTAAGACAGATGACTCTTGTGGGTATTGGACGTGAGCATCCAGAGTGCCAGACACCAACCCTAGTAGACAGAGACCCTTATACTAGACTATGTCAGCCCACACTGAAGGACAACAGCCACCCAACCTCTATGTGTAATGAGGATCTGGAAAATCTTCCACCTCTGCTCTTTTATAGTAAACTTGTCAAGAGGTGAGCAGTTCCTTCCTGCTCCCACAGCTGCTCTGTCACCACTCCCCCTCCCAGAGAAACTAAAGGATGCTACCAACCAGGAGCCATAATAACTTACTTGGCCAGTTATTTTGGGACTCGGAAATATCACCTGCCAGTTTGACAGAAGTCCATCCTACTTATGGATGAACCACGCTTCACTAGGCTCCTGGCTTTTTTAAAGCACTACAAATATAAATGCATAAACACAATTTAAAAAAAAAGGGGGGGGGGGCAAAACAAAAATGAAGGCATTGTGGATTAAGCCAAAACCTTTGACTTGAGAAGACATCAGCATCCTCCAGATTTTGAGACAAAAAGACTAGGATGAACGTAGACTGAAAACTAATTAATAGTATTATTACTTGACTGAAATGAAAAAGGAGCTAAGGTAATTCACACCAACGCTGGAATTACAACTTGAATGAGATCACCTCAGACTAAAACATCACCTCTGGACAGGCACAGCTATTGATGAAACTCTGCCTTGGCTCTCCATTACCAGAAGAGCTCTCTGTGAAAAACTCTCCAGCAAATCACACAATAAAACTCGTATATCTGGCAGACACAACTCCAGAATGATGAATATCAGAAGGGCCACTTTGATACTCTATTGCTGTGCTTAAGCATTTCAAGTTAGTCCTGCTTATCACATGACACGCTTACCTAGTCCTTGTATCTCATTATGTAAGTAAACTGCGCAGTATTCTCCAGCCACTCCAGTTGCAGAAGGTGTTTAATCTTTTGTAGTGCAGAATCCCTACTTGTCAAAGTCTCTCGTTACACCTCCAGTTCCAAAAAACCACTATGGATACTTTTGTAAAATTACCAATTCATGCTGACCTAGAAAATAAAACAAAAAGCATGCTTGGTTTACCTTATTTGGCATGTGCTATGTTCTCATCACTTACCGTATCATTGCAACAAGCTCTCTTGGGAACACTGGTCTTTACTCCATCTCTCAGCACAGATAATTCTGTGCCCTGCTGCACCAATGCAGAAGAAGGGTCAGTATTTCCTTCAGGTAAGATGTAAGACTTGCATTTTATAAACACAGAAGGAAAAAAAGCTGGTTTTGATTTAACATTTTCAGGGACCGAAACCGACAATTCCAAAAATTCAACTTATTTCTAATTACTGCTTAAGAGGAAAAAAACCCAACAGGTCTCTGCAACACTTAAACCAAGTCGCTCATTCCAGCCTTTATTAGAATAATTACAACTAAAAGAAACATGGCACTTGTATTTTCACAGCAGGACAAGCATCATAGGACATAATGGGCTACAAAGCTATAGCAATGCAGGGGAAAAAAAATAAAATTAAATAAACCAAAACCAAAGCTTGCCGCAGACCTTACAGCTTCTTCTACGTGGAAACCACAGCTTTCAGACAGCAGAGTGCAATGCAGAGGCAGCAACAGCATCATTCTATGCTCAGAGAACTGAGGGACTGTCACACCAAACACGGTATCACTTAATTGTCTCCTAAGCCAGACTGAAAGCAGAAGGTGCGGAAATGAAGGTGGGTTATTCCTTTGGTTCACAGTCCTACTCAGTTCCCTTCTTCCAGCACAGCAGGCAGTCGATTGCCTCCATTCAGACAATGGCTGCACAGTCACTGAGCCATCTGGGCCTCCATTGCCTGCGCTGTCCATTCTGGGGCTGTCTGACTTATCTTCTCCAGCAGGTTGTTAACCTGGAAACACAGTGACTGAATCTGCTTGTCCCAAGTTGGCAAAGCTTCACGGGCTGAAAAAAAAAACAACCCAAAAACCAACCCATAGAAAACAAAGTAAATCTTAACAATTCCCTTGCCTTTTCAACTGCAACCTTTTTTTCTGCCACTGCCCTCACCTACCTCACAGAGGAAGCCTTCCTTGAACTACATCGTGCTTGTTTCTGAATTCAAAAGCTACAACGATTTTGGCTGTCTGTTACAAGCCTAACTCCTGCATTGCAAAGTAGAACTGAACAGAGAACTTCCTGGTGGACCTGTTCCTACAAGGAGACTGATGGAATAAATTCACACTTCCCTGTGAGTAAAAGAATGCATAGTAGGGAGGATGGGTGAAGTGTGGTCTTCCATTAAGGCAAACTCTGCCACCTCCTGGCCACAGCAACACACCACAAACTCACTTCAGACAAGATATTAAACTGAATTTCCTTACCCTCTAAGCAGCAACTCAAAAAGCTCACCTGAATGGTGCTAAAAAAACCAAACTACTGTGGTTGAACTTACTCTCAAAATGAACAATTCCGTCAATCTGATCAATGAATCCATTCATGCGACCCTCGGTTATCATCTGAGAAGCTATCTTTTCTGCCTGAAATAATGAAAAGAGGTTAGAAACTTCTTCCATTCCGAAAGAAGTTAAAAATGATTAAGACTTAATAGTCCTTATGGGTTTTTCAACATCTTCACACATTGCAGGAGCGAACCTACAGGCAACACTAATTATGAAATGATTAGCATACTATCAGTGGCATCTAACTCCACTATTGTTCGTTCCATATTATGTACCTTTCCTTCTCATAAGATGTGCTAGTTATTTAACCGTCCTCATAATATGGAATAATTAATTATTTTGTAATATTGAACTAATTCTCCTAATATTTACCATAGCTATTTTCTTACGTCTCTGATGCTCCTTGTTTTCACAAAAGATGTAGAAAACTGATACCTTAGCTGCAGGGATCTCTAGCAATGCTCCAAGCTCTTCAAAAGTAATGTTGTTGTAAAGTTTGCTCGCAGATAGTAAGTTGTGTTCAATAACAGCTCTGTCCAGGATACTGGAGCCTTAAGGGTTAGATGAGAAAAAAAAAATCCATTACTATAGGATTGAAATACTTGATTTATATTGTAGAGCAGATGGAAAATGCTTTTTTCCCCCCAAGGGTTACATGTGCAGAATGTCCAGAGGCATCTGCGGCACGTGGTTGATTTTAAGACAGGTAGCTTAAACCCTTTTACTTAATTTCTAGAACAATCAAGTGGAGTCCTTCATTTTGCTACAAGAGTCAACATCTGAATTGAGGGAGTTTGACCTCCTGTGATCAGTTCCTAGCTTGCCAAATAGAAAGACCATTGTTTTTTCTTTTATTCATTACAGTTCTTAGGGGTACAACTAACCTCTCTCTTACTATGCTTGTACAGTGATAAACCTTCATCTAATTTCTCTTTTTAACAATTCAGCTCATTTGCCCCTTAACCTCTAGCTGAAGATAAGGACATTATTAAATACCAACTAACCTGCGTTCTTTAACTTATATGGACAAACAGTACAGGTTATAAATAAACAACAAATTGACCCAAGGAAAGGACTGCAGCTTATTGTTAGAAAGTACCTTTAACCAGTTTTCACTTCTGTGATTACACAGTTGTTTATTTGTCCTTAATCAATAAGTATGTTCACTAGGATCCACTTCAATATTCTTCCAATCTAGAAAATTGAGACCAGTGTGTTTAGGATTCCAGTGAAGTCATTACTTCACATTATTTCTCACTCTTCAGAGGTTCCAGGAAGAACAGAGCTAATAAGACGTCAGCGAGATGGATGAGAAAACAATTTGGAGGCAGTGTGAGGTCCAAGTCATCCCTCTCACTATTTGTCATCTTCCTGTCAAGTCAGGAAGTAGTTCAAATAAATTTATCATCTGCACAGACCGTTTATGGCCTACACACGTCATGTGTTTTTAGGCATCCTATTTATAACAGTGCTTAGAACTGGAGAAGCTCAAAAGGACGGAGACTCAAACTATGAGGCAAGGTTAGAAATACCGGGAGTTGGTCAGTGAGGAGGACTGTACATGGACAGAAAACCAAGATTTTTACAAGTTATCTTCTAGAAGAGTATTTCAAAACCTTAACAGCCAATCAGAAAGACAAACTATGGCTAAGAAGCTTTGCTATTAAACTATATTCAGGAGGGTAACATGCTGGGAGATTTTAAAATAAATTTTAAAATAATCATATAAGCAATACTAAATTCTTTTCCATCTCATTTCTTGACTGCATTGGGCAAGTCTAACTGCTGTGAATGAACACCTAGCATTATGAGGCTTCAGAGAAATATGTACCATCAGCTGTAGTTGCTTTCTGGTGAGGCATTAGCATAGCTGCAAACTCTTGCAGTTGATTTCCACGGATAATTCTGTCAAGATACATTTTCTCCAAGATCCCATAGGCTGCAAGCTGCTGGCATCTCTCATCCTTGAAGAGTGTAGCAAGCATGCGAGAACGCTGCTGTCCTAGGAGAGTCAAGAAGAATTCTCATAAATCATCACCAAGGCATTGAGTATTTAAAGGTAAACAACAGAAAGTTATCGTCTCTTTTTCTCAATACATGCAATTAACCAACAAAGCTATACCAAAGAAGGAACTAGATTGTGTTCAGTTCCAAAACACTGTTTGCCACTGACTATCTTTTGCATCTTCAGCCAAGATGCCACCTTATCATTGGCAAAGACATAGAATTAATCCAACTCTGAGTTAACAGTATGCCAACAGGTAATTTTGACACCGTGTTCAAAATTTTGGATCCCTCCCCACAAGTTCAACAAGGCCAAGTGAGGTTCAACAAGGCCAAGTGCCGGGTCCTGCACTTTGGACACAACAATCCCATGCAGCACTACAGGCTTGGGGAAGAGTGGCTGGAAAGCTGCCCAGCAGAAAAAGACCTGGGGGTGCTGGTTGACAGCTGGCTGAATATGGCCAGCAGTGTGCCCAGGTGGCCAAGGCAGCCAATGCCATCCTGGCCTCTATCAGAAATAGTGAGGCCACCAGGAGCAGGGAAGTGATTGTTCCCTTGTATTCGGCACTGGTGAGGCCACACCTTGAATACTGTGTTCAGTTTTGGGCCCCTCACTACAAGAAAGACATTGAGGTGCTGGAGTGTGTCCAGAGAAGGGCAACCAAGCTGGTGAAGGGCCTGGAGCACAAATCTTATGAGGAGCAGCTGAGGGAACTGGGGCTGTTTAGTCTGGAGAAAAGGAGGCTGAGGGGAGACCTTCTCGCTCTCTACAACTACCTGAAAGGAGGTTGTAGTGAGGTGGGTGGGTGCTGGTCTCTTCTGTCAGGTGGCTGGAGATAGGACGAGAGGAAATGTCCTCAAGTTGTGGCAGGGGAGGTTTAGATTGGATATTAGGAAAAATTTCCTCACTGAAAGGGTTGTCAGGTATTGGAACAGCCTGCCCAGGGAAGCGGTTGAGTCATCATCCCTGGAGGTATTCAAAAAGTGCGTAAACAAGGCACTCCAGAACATGGTTTAGTGGGCATGGCTGATGGTTGGACTTGATGATCTTAAAGGTCTTTTCCAACCTAAATGATTCTATGATTCTAAGTAACACACAAGCTGACTTGCTTCAGGGGATATGAAATACGCGTGTTGAGTCTTTTACACAAAAACGTAATGTGTATTTTACCTGCTGATGCCAAAATAGTACAATGCAAAGCATGCTTCAATGCCTCCAGTCGCTCTGTTTCATGTACTATGCTCTTATAGGAGAGCTCATTGTATCTTTGGGCAGCCTCAATGAACTTTCTTCTGTAATCAAGGACTCGAGCATAGCAAACCTAGAAAGAAAGTATGTGTCAGAAAAAGAAAACTAACAGAGGTGGCTGCATAAAATAGGTGTGCATAAATTGCCACATTTATCAAGTGACAGCTCCCATAAATATTGCTCTACTGCATCCTAAGGAAATTTGTGTCTTAGAACAATTAGTTTGACTTGTAAAGCCCTTGCTAAAGCATCATGGAAAGCAATTGTAAGGGCATTTCCCAGCACTATTCACATGTTAAACATTTCAAATGTCTAAATGCCAGAAACTAAGTAAATGAAATATTGTGCAGCTGATATTGTACTTATGTAAGTTTCCCCTTCACCATTGACATTGACAGCTAGCACTGAGGTAGCAATTTATGTCTCAAGTGTTTGCTTTTCCCTTTCAGTGCTGTAACAGTATCTGATATTTCTTCTCTCCCATCCTTTGTGCTTTTCTAATGCTTACAGAAAATATTTACACTTCCAACTGAGGGCACGCTTTAAAACATAGCACAGGGGGGAGAAAAAAAGAACAGGGAAAACCAACAAACCAAAACCACCACACCCTGAATTACAGCTCATGGCACATCTGCTTTGTGTTGTAGAATTTTAAACACCACCGCATTTGATTGGTACTGTCACACTGTAGTTATCACTGCTCATCCCAGTTACTAAAGTGGTTTGAGAAATTAAGTGTATGAACTATGTACACAGTAAACCCACAAATAAGCAGAAAGGTCTGCAGTTACTTTACTACTTGAGACTTAAAGCTACTTTTATGGATGGGACTTAGTATTTAATTACTGGGAGGGGAAAGGGAAGGGGGGGACTTCCATTGTCCCTAATATTGGATGTGATTCCCCCCCGCCCTTAGACTTACAGACAAAGGTGGAGGCAATATTTTCAACAATATTTCAGATGTTTTGAAGCCTAAGTTTTATTTTCAATCAGTAAAGCTGGCATTTAAGGAACCTTTACAGACTTATCTCCAAACCATAAGGAATGAGCTGATTAATTATTGCTAAGATGTGGCTCTGAAGCTCCCAAAACCATTTTGAAGCTTTTCTCTTTGTCTCTTTTTTCATTATGAAAGTTTTAGTGGCACTGCATAAGAACATCTCAATGTGGAATTGTCACCTTTTTAAAAGAGAAAGCAATGAAGCAAGTCAGACAACCTTATAATGGATTTGCAGCTGTTCATTAGTTGATTCATTCTGAAGCAGGGAAGCTCGATTAATATAAGCTTCTGCTTGAACTGGGTCATCATCCTCCAGATACAGCCTGGCAATTTTCAGGTAGGTCTCCAGTTTATAATCTACATTGTATTGTCTGTAGAGAAACAGAAAAGCAAGTGCTCAGAGTTGCTCCACAACTACCCTTGCTCTCAGCTGTTCTAAACATATATTATGATTCTTAAGCACTTGGCAACGTTTGCTTTACCCTGCTTTCTTCTTCCCTAACACCAAAATTAGTGCTCTCTGTTCAAGGTAAGGAAATTTGACATGAATGCCAGTATAGAACTGGCTCCTACAAACACCAGTAGAAATAATGCTGTCCAGCAAGACACAAATGTACACTCTAATAATCTGGTTTTATTGGATTGGAAGTTTGTCATAAGTGGTGTGCCACTTGAGTTAAGAAGCAAATTTGCAGTGGAATAAATAGGTGCTAAATGGGCAAAACCTACAGCAATTCCTTCTACATGCATACAGAGAAAGAGGATAGAAAGGACAGCTGGAGGAAAGTAACAGCAAAGGTTCTAGACTTAAAAAAAACAAAAACACAAAACCACAAACAAACAAAACCCCAGAAAAAACCTCAACTCTATTTGTTAATATCCAATTTCAAACTATGTCCTCATTTTGAACTGTAAAGGCAAACACGTGGAAGAACTGCTACCTTTCAAGAATCTTTCAATAACCTTAGAAGCATTGTTGTAAAATACTATCAAAAAAGCTGTTTATCAACAAGACTAATAAATAGTGCAAAACTTCTTGTGCAGTGTTTTGATCCACTACACCGTTTACTGTAACATACAGACATCAAGCTATACTTTTGTCATCTGGCAGTAGTTCTGGCTTGAACTACTGAAACTCCGGAAAAATATGCAACCCCCAAACTCTCACTCGCTGGTCTCATTGAGTACAAAGGCAGCAAGTATATTTAACAACACAGAATTGTGTCTAGGATAGTACTTACTTTTGCCCTGTTTCCAAAGGGATCCCCACCAATACTTGCGCTGCATTTCTCCAGTCTTCTTCTTTCTCATAGATTGATGCAAGATGTTGCCTTATTGAAGCGACCTAAACAATAATAAAATCAATAGCAAACACTGTAGAAGTTGAATGGTTCTGTATTAACTTTCACAGTATTTATTCTTGTTCATGAATCCCCTCAAACGATACCCCAGATTCACAGACACAGCAACATACATGCACTCAACTCTTTCCACGCAAGGAGTCCTGTGTGGGACTCCTGGATCAAGCTTTAATACCAAGCTTTTTAAATTTGAGTGCTGATTTTAAGCATTTCCACTTAAGCTTGTGACAAGATAAAAGGAGTTTATCTTCAGGGAGCAACAAAGCCTTTTATAAAGCTTTTAAAAAGACGAAACAAGGCTTTCGAGTTGAAACGGGAACACCAAGATTCACAAGCCATTTATTGCAGCTATACCTCGTATCACATCTTGAGATATGAATGAGGTGAACTATGATTAGATCCTATGCAGAAACTTCTACTTTGTAGAGCAGCTGTCATCAGGTAAAATATCAGTGCTTACAATCTGGGTTTTATAAGCAGAAGTGTGGGTAAAAAAAATAAATCACCTGATGTCTTGGATTTAATTTATGCATAATCATAAAATATAGGCAAGCATGTTCAGTTAAGACTTATAGAATAAAAGCTGCTTAAAAAGACAAAGGATAAAGAGAAGCAAATATAAATCATGGCAGAAACTGCCTTGATTCTCTTCTCAAATAAAAATAAAGGCTTTTTATATAAACATCTTCCATAAGAACTCTTATCACCATCTCAGATGATGGTGAATACTCATACAACAAACCCAAGAACTGAACTGAAAAAGAACTGCAGCACATTCAGTAGTTAACTAGAATTGGGATTTCAAGAAAACATTTTCTTCTGGTAAAATGATTATGGCTAAAATACACACACAGAGAGATATTTATTTTGAAACAAAAGCTATTTGTCAGGATGCTTGTCTTTACATCACCTGCCTGTTCCATTAGTTGGGTAAAATGCAAGACAATGAGTACCAGTCTGTCTCTTGACAGTACCTCCAGTAGCTCAATTATTGTTTCATTGTAAGAAGCCATTTTCTGGTAGCAGAGGAATTACATGCCCAGCGTCCTGATGAAAAAACAAAGTCTGTATTCTCTGCACAGTCCTAAATACTCTCTCCATTTAGCTCGGGTTTTGCAAGTACAGGAATGCAAAACTGGACTCTAAGTAGGAATATCTGTTTTGAACAGCTTTTTTAAAGACTTAAAATAGTCAGCAGATAAGGGAAAAAAACCCAAAGCCAAGCCCACAAACCAAAAACCCCTCATCATTGATCTCTCACCTGCTCTTCAAATGAAATTACTCTAGGCTGTATCTTTTCCAAGGTGAAGTGGTAAATTTCTTTGGCCGTGCTGTCAGGAAGACTTGGAAGATGGGTACAGAAATCTGTCAGTAGCTGACGCGAGATCACTAGACTGACATTCTCGTTCACCACTGGTTCAGAGACGCATGGAAGAAAAATACAACATGGATGCAATGCCTGTCAGTGCCTTCATGGTAAGTGATCATTTGCTTTTATCTTAAATTTGAATATTTCAAGTTTTTAAATCTGTATCCAAATGAAAGGGGGTTTTTTCTTTGTTTTTAAAAGGTTTTTTTTTTTTCTCTCAGAAACAGCTTGTTTACACTAGAGGTCACCAGAGTTCTAACCCCTGACATAATAATGAATTTCTCACTTTGATTTATCGTTTAGAAAGATGTTTCATTCTGAATCACTGTTCTCAGTTGCTGAAACATCTTGGACAAAGCAAACCTTTAGATTAAATTTCACTAAGTTTATTCTAAACTTAAAAAAATTACAACAGGTATAACTTATAGAGTATTCAATAAGCCAAACATCCAATACAACACAAAAAACTCCTAACCATTTCTTCTTGACAGTTTTTCAAACTAGCTTGAGATGAGGGAAGAAGAGGGTTGTTAGTTTAAATACCGCTTGGCATCCAGCATCAATTTTAGCATTCAAGAGAGACTATTTTATGTTTTAACCTTCCAACACTGTCACTCTGACAGGTTGGAAAGTTACAACAACTCCCTTAACTTCTGAATGTGGCGATGATGGTTCCTCTTCTAGTTGTGTTTGAGATCCAATAGGACCAAAATATCAGGTAGTTACATAGCATTATGTAGAGCTAACAAATATGCAATTCCACAGACCTCTGGCCTTCACTCAGTGTGCAACCGATTATACCAGACACACTTACTTGCTTCTACAAAAGCTTTCAAAGCTTCAAGTTGTTCTACACCCGACAGCTGAATGGCTTTTTCCAATATTTGACGGTATCTGTCCACAGATTAAAAAAAAAACAACAAAAAAAAAAAAAATCAACGGGCAAATTTTTTCACTAACAAGTTGTTTCTTTGCTTATTTTCTATGTCAGAGCCCTACTTTTGCTTATATTTTCTATACCTTTGAGGTAGCCATTTTCCAAAGTGTTTGTGCTCACATGTCAGGAACATTCACCTGGAATTGGTATCTGGCTCTTTTTAAATCCCAGGACTAGATTCTCAGATAACACAGCTCATCATTTTGTTATCTGTGAATACACACGCAATTTTGAAGGTTAAAAAAAAAAAATCACGTCCCTAGGATAGTGCACAGAAAAAGTAACGAAAACTATATCGCTCATGGATTAAAATGTAAAAAGTTAGTCAAATGTTCAAAATGCCATATTTTATGAGAAGGAGAAACAGCGTTGGGAGTGGGAGGTAAATAGTATGTTACAGCCACTTGACGTGAGCACAGACACAGACAATTCTTAAGTGTTTATTCTTGCAAAAATAGCAACTCCAGTTTTCAAGCTTCATAAAGCTAAATAAACTTTGCCTGGGCCATAACCTCAGTGTGTGCAATACTGGTGAAGTACTACCTTCACGCTGAAGCCACTTTTTGAAGGGAGCATTTCCAAGTTTTTACATAAGACTTCTAGAAGTGAAGCAGTTCCTCTATAAAATAAGCAACTGGACTGGGACTCGAATAATTTCATGTGACTGATCGACATTTGACTGAACCCTCGGGGGAGAGAAAATCTATGTGACACATAGCACTGTGAGTAGCTCAAACCCTAAGGTTTGCCATTCAAAACACCCACCCAACGAAAGTAATAATAATGGCGTTACTGACACATCTACAGCAGCCGAGGAAAATAAAATTCCCCGACCTATCAATTTCACGCAGACGAAGGGCAGGGCAGCCGAACTCTGAGGGGCGGCGGGCAGACACGAGGGAGCAACGGCGAAGGGGTAAGGCCCCGCGCGGAAGCCTGCACTAGGACAGGACACCACCAGCACAGAGCAAGCCGTCGTTGGAAACGAAAAATAAATAAAAAATGACAGAATCATGAAGTGAAATCTTTCTTTCTTTCTTCTTTTTATTTAAAGAAGCGCGGCCGTTGGACAAGAGCCGCCTCGCCCGCCCAGGGCCCGGCAGCCCCCCCCCCCCCCCCACGGCCGTAACCCCGAACAGCCGTTCACCCGCCTCGCCCCGTCATGGGGAGGCCGGCGCCGGCACTCACTTGCCCGCCAGGTCCTTGTGAGAGCCGCTGGAGTTCATCAGCTGCGCCAGGTCCTGCCTCACCGCGGCCGCCATCTTCACCGACCCGCCGCCGCCGTCCCCTTCGCGCGCCGCAGACCTCCTCCTACCATAGAGCCGCGCCGCCGGCAGGCTAGAGGGGCCGCCGCGCGGCGGGGTCACGTGGCAGGGAGCGTCCGCGCGGGCAGAGCCCGGCCGCGGGGATAAAGCCGGGGCGGGCCACACACCTCCGCCTCCTCCCGGGGCCGCAGGGCGGCACGTACAGAGATATATACGTGTATAATCGCGCGT